AATTTCTCTAATTGTATTTGACGATTTTCCCAATCCAAGGCAGTTATGTTTACAGGATCTTTTGGTGTGTCCGGATCGATTAGCCATCCCTTTTCAGGAAACAGTAAAATATTAAAAAGCGCATCTCGTGTTACTAAAAATAAAATAAAACGTGTTCAATTGCTGTGAAATGTAATATTTATGAGCTTACATTTAGTTTGTTCTTCCAAATTAGCTTCCCAACGCTTCAGTTCAGCCCGATAGACTTGTTCTTTGTGTTCTGAGGCAATGCGTTCTGTAAAGTTGGCACCTGCTGTTACCAGTTGCGGTTCTTTTGGACGGTTATGGAGTAGACGAGACCAATCGTTAAAACTGTCTATGGCCGCCAAGTATACTTTGTAACTGAGATACTCCTTAATGCTACACTCCTCGCGGCAAGGAAAGTTGTCCTTTGAACCAAAGATGTTAATTATTTGTGAGAGTGAGTCGGCTGGCACCATATCGTAAACGGCACGCACACACTCTGATTTGTTCTCGCCAAGGAAGGTACGTATCATTGCGTTGGCTTGCCACAGCAAGTCTCCACGTTGCGTAGGCAAAAAAGTTAGCCATTCCAGTGCACTTATTTTACGCTGATCGAAATTTGAAATCTCGCCGACTTGCAGTTGTTTGCGCGATGTAACAGCTTCGTCAGCGTCTCCAGGCATGCGCTGTCGAATGGTCTCCACGGTGTGGCGTGTGATATTTTCTATGTCCAAACCAGCATTAATGGCTTCAGTGAGTGCTGCGGAGCGGGTCGTTGTCTCTGTAACTCGTTCGAGGAATTTGGAGTATAACAGAATTTGCATTTTTCCAGGCAATGCAGCTGTGTAGAAAGCAATTAATTGCGCATCGCCCATTTCGATCAATGCTTCTACGTAGGCTGCGACTATGCGATCTGCCGTCTCCTCCTTATCAACACGACCTATTTGGCGCATGAAGAGTACAATATGCGTAAGGAAGCGTAGAAGATGAGGAGAAAGGGGTTCAATGTTATCGATCACGTTATTGGCACCTTCCACCCACCGTCGCATATGTTGCAATAGCTCACCAACGTTGTCCAATATCAAGTACTTTTGTATGGTGCCAACTTTACTGCATGCATAGTCGCGAACGGACGCATCATTGCTAACTGAGAGTTCTTCGAAAATCTGTTCAAGTGACATTTTTGCATTCCAATAACCGTCTGGCAGCTGTTGGTATGCCTTGATGCAGCACGCACGTATTTCACACTCGACGCGTATATCAATCTGCACTTTCAGATACGCCCACAGAAGATCCTCCCATGAACCTTTTAAGAGTGCTTTTAATGAGTCTAGATGGCCACAGAAAGCTCCAGCTATGGCTCGTGTATATTCGTCAAACTTTTTAGAATCAGCCATCAACCAGGCGCATTTTTTCCATATATCACGCCGTGGGTTACCTTCAATTGGCATTTTTTCTCTAGCATTTGGATTTGAGTAATAGTTTGGGTCCTCATGTAGCCGCCAGCCCTCAAGAATAGCAGCGCGCCAAGTTTGTCCGCTGTGTTTGCAAAGCGCCATAGCTTCGTCAATGTGACCCTGACGGATTTCTGTGAAAATACAGCGTGATAAACGTAGATTATCTTCCTCATCTAACGAATGAAGCGGACGACGTTCGCGAACTGGTGCATCTGGATCAAGCGATTTAACGATTTCCACGCCAGTTCCGAAGGCAACATCGCGGCGGTTTTGCAGTTGGAATAGCGTGTTTTCCCAACCAACTGCCCGATTTGCGATATGTCCGACTTGCGACTGAGAATCGTTTTGCTCGTAACATGCTTCAAGCCAATCAACCATGAGCTGATATTCACGCAACGTCGAATTGCCTGAGGGAGACGATGTAGTTTAACTAATATTTAAACATTGAAAAAATACTTACATGCATACAATTGGGCAACAACTTCCTTCTCCGAACCACCCAAAGGAGGCATCTCACAATCCATGCCACCGCCCTCTGCCTGTACCATTATACGATCCTTGTATAGCGCATATAGCAATTTCCAAGTTTTCATTTCCTGATGCAGCCACACTGCATTGTCTTCTTGGCGTTTGTCAGTGTTGGCCACTTGACGTTGGTCTCTTTGTAGCTCATCGGCGACACCAGCACATGTCTGTATCAGATCCTGTATGGTATCAAAAACCTCTGAGTCATTTGTGCGACTTTGTAATACTTCCAAGAACTGTGGAAATAACAAATCCGTTTTTCCTTTGAGCGAATACGTCTGCTGACCATCGTCTAATACCGAGCGCTCACTGGCAGTCATACCGTCGCCAACAGTCAGATTGAAATGATCAAAAAATGCACTAGAATTATTGTGGGACAATTGTCGCTGCGATTGGTCCAGAATGCGGGATAAATCGTTCGGCAACAAGGTAATGGAGAGGTCGTTGCGACTTGTATTTTGTTGAGACCGCATTGCCTTTGACGGTTGAGTTTTGATTTGGATCAGGCCGCGTTTTGAGGTAGCGAACGGACTTTGTGACATTTTCAAGCAAATATTCCAAAATTTGCAATTTGTTTCAACTTTTCACTTAAAACAGTTGCACAGCAAATTGTAGTAAATACCGGCGGACAAATTACAGAATTTATATATTCTTCTTCTTGTCACAATTTGCAGGCGCAGTAGAGAAAAACGAAACAAGCCAAGAACAGGGCCGCACTGTTGCCAACTTCGTGCTTTTCGCTCTAAATTTTGTGTTTTTTCTGTATTCAAAAGGGGAAAATGTTTGAGTTTGGTGCTTCTTTTTTAGTTTGAAAACACCAAAACTGTAAAGCTGAAATTAGTCGAGACCGCAGAACGTATACTTAAACGCAGTCTGTATACGCAGAATTTTGTCGATTACTGGAGCCCTCAGTGTTGCTTACTGCAGTGCTGCCACTCAGCAATGCCTTTTCATAAACTTACCTTTTCAACTACAATTTTGCGTGCTATAATAGATCGTAGCTAAATATAAACTACTTAGTTTTCAACAAAAAACCTTATTCAATAGTAAATTTCAAATATTTTAAACGTATTGTGGCGAATACTGCGGCAACACAAAGCGAACAACGAGAAATAGGC